GCGGCGGCGGTACCGAGGCGAGCGCTGGTCCCGGTGCTTTAGCTGGTCCCCCCGGTCCGTGCCCTCCCGCGGCCACTCTGGGACGTTCCCTCATCCATTCATTGCAAAAAAGCATGAGTTTGCCTTTTTAAATTTTTTTTTTCCTGATGGAAAACACACAGTTTAGGCAAGAAGGGGCGTTCTGGCAGGCAGGCTCCTCAGGCTCCGTGTCTCGGTCTCGAGGCTGCTGGGCGCCCGGTGCTTCTCGTGGTCACGAGTGTCGTTTTGATCCGATCCTGCCTGGCACATTGCAATTAATATTAACATAATATTAATACAGCCTGGTCTGAGCCCTGGTCCTTCCCCCCCACCCCACGCTGTGGAAATGTGTTTATTTAAATCTGCCACAGAGAAGCGGAAAAAAAAAAAAAAAAAAACGGAATTAGAGCCTTGGAAAAGCCCTGGAAGCAATCAGTGTTTTTTTTTACTGTGATACTGTAACGGTAAAAATGATGAAGGAAAACTTGGATGCTGCTAGTGCTTAGAGGAAAGAGGGCTGAGCTAGGATGGACGCGATGTGTTATAATCACCCTGCTTATTCAATTATACAATTAATATTATATTCAGTGTACCCATGAGGATGCCCTGGAGCAGGTGACGTGCATGAAGCCCTTGCAGCAAGGCACAATTAAACTGTTCTCCATTGCAGGCAGAATTAGCCCTTCATCCACCACGGCCCTCGCGGGCCAGGGCTGGCAGGAGCCTCCAAGAGCCCAAAGGAGCCCCCGTGGTTCCCTCCTTTCCCTGCTGATCCTGGGAACAAGAACTGGGAGCAGGAAAAAAAGAGCAGTAAGATGAATATAAAGTAAGAATGACAATATGGGGTCAGTGCAAAGGTCCTTCTAGCGCAATATCCTGTATCCGATACCCTGTGTTTTTTCCCTCAGCTTGTATAAATCACCTTTTGCTCTAGATTCCGGTGGAGAGGCAAGGCGATAAGTTTAACAGGAGCCATAAAGAGAAATCTGGGGAAGAGTGAGCACATAACAAGCCAACGCGATGGCTTCTCCGACTGCACTCCTGTTTTGCAGCTATTTGTCCCTCAGGACCTGCTGAAATAAAGGGAGAAAGGGTGAAACGAGAGCTGAGCCGAGCACAGGAGGTGCCTGTCCTGGGCTTCCACCAGCTCATGCAGATAAGGATGGTAAAATAGCCCCACCATTGCCCCATCCCTTGTGGGGCCAGAAGTCTTGGTTCGTTCTGCTGTCATGAAAACACCAGCAGTCCATAAAGACCTCTTTATACCCGTGCCCACAATCCTAATGATCAGTTTATGCCTTTTATCTGTGCTTTTAGAGGTGGTGGCTACTTGGGGCAGCAGATCAATTAATAGAGATATTCTATTTGTAGTTGCCAAGTTTACTGAAACTAGGAGATGTAGTCACCGTCCTTCTCCAAAGGACTGTGCTCTTTGGGACATCCTGCAATAAGCAGCAGGAGAGCTTTGCCCCAGCCCGTTATTAGCTTTTTTGCACAGCCAGTTTTTGTAGGGCTCTTGTGTGGCCGATTTGCTTTTCCCATCTCTAGTCCAAGCACCAGATACTGCAGCCATTTCCACCTTATGGCTCCTGGGGGCTGACAGAAGCCGGCTCTGATATTTCATGAAATCACATCTCGGTCCATTCAGCAGCTTGTCGTTTTCCTGTTTTGTTTAATTCTTGTAACTCTCTTCGTAGGAACCCCCGAAGCTGCAATGTACATTTTGGTTTTCGGTTACAACGCTTGTTTTTGTAGCGGGAAATATAATCCCTCAAATGCCTGGGTTTAAGAGGATGCAAATCAGCTTGCTGGCACAAAGCTCCGGGAACGTTTCTTTCATGCAAAATCCAGCTAGATAAATAAGGAGGGGAGAAGGAAGCGGGGGGGAAAGGAAGAGGGGGTTGTCTGCTTCTATAAGCAACAAGAATTAATTATGCTGAGCAAATGACAGCGGGGTTAAGATCAAAATCTGAATCTTTCTCAATTTGGGTGAAACCTCCGCTCCTATCGCCGAGTTGCATCAAGGGCCATTGCACAGGCTGTCCGGTGGCGTTGGGCAACGCGGCGAGCGCCGGCGCTGCGAGTCGCGGCCGTCCCGGCAGAGAGCGCTGGGGACAGCGGGACACGCGCGTCCCCGCAGGGCCATGGGACACCGGGAGCACCGGGAGCAGCGGCCCGCAGCGCGCGCGGGGCACGGGGCGAAGCCGGTCCTGCCTTCCCGGTGCCTGCCCCGTGCTGGGTTGTCAGGAGGAAAGGGGTCCCGCTCCGTCCCGCTCCGGGGCAGCCGGCTGCAGGAAACGGGTTGGATAAACGGTTGGGAAAACGCATTTGGTGGCTCGCGGCGCGCAGCAAAACTCCACGATGTAAAGGCATTTCTCCAGGGACGTGTGCGATGCTTGGCACTCGGCAGCTGCAGGTGTACGCCTATGCTGTCTTAAATTATAAACTTCCAGGAGGGCATTTTTGCTGCATCGCATCTTCCCTGGCACAGCAGACGCTGCCAGGGCAGGAGAGGAGGACCAGGGCACACACTGCACATGCCATCACACATAGGAGATAGGTGAAAACAAATAATTCCTTTTTATTTTTTTGCAAGCATCAGGGAAAATCAGCCCTCCTTGTTTTTCACCAAATAGGAATTATGTCAGTGATTCTCAGAAAATCACTGCTTTTTTTGCAGACTTTCCAGCTCCTGTTCCTAGTTGGAAACCTATTAGGTGATCTGGGAAAAGTCCTTTTACCTCTACTTTATCTTCCTTCTTTACACCCTGTCTTCATAGGGTGTTTCAGCAGTCCATTATTTCACATTTTCAAATCCATTTTGAACTTTTTTTTGCAAGTAAGTGATAGAAGTGCAAATTCTTACTATTATTCTTCAGCAGAAGAGCTTTTTGGAAAGATGCTTGTTAATGAGCTGGCTTAATGAGCTTTCTTAAATCTCTATTTATATCCTATATACAGCTGAATATAGATGGAGCAAAATGTAAAATATGTATGGATTGCACATACATATGCCTAAGAAAAAGAAGGCTGATCAACAGCTTTTACACTACATCTTTTTCAGTTATTATTATGCAAGTATTTATTCCCTTTTTTCCCCCTGAAAATTGGAGAGATAAAAGATACATTCTGGAATAAAACAATTTTGTGCATATGTGCTAGATGGCTTTGTTTATGAGACCGAAGTGTGCGAGTGTGTGCATGTGGGACAGATGGTGTCCCTGTTTGTGAAAGATACGATGCGCAGATGAATGTGTGTAAAAATACAGGTTTCTTAAGAGCTATTCTTTTTCTTTTTTCCCCCTTTTTTAAAAAAAAAAACAGAAACAACAAATACCAAATGCTGCTCGGCACATTATTTCCCTGTGTCAAGCGCTCTGTCAACATGACAGACGAATATTGCTGCAGAGAGCCAGGCTGCCCCAGAGAGTTAAGGGTGCCACGGCGGGGTTCAGAGCTGGGCATCGTGAATTCTCTTCAAGTTTTCAAAGTCCTGGAAAGTTTTGATAAGCAAATACTTTCTGGGCTCTGCTTTTCTATTGGCTGTTTCTTCACCGCCAGATTTTGACACAAATAATCAGATTGAAAAATCAGGGAGGGGAACAGGGGCAAAAAAAAACAGAGAGAAAAAAAGAGAAGTATCTATTTCACCAGACAGCGACTAAATGAAAAAGTGGAAGAAGGAACCCCGAGAGAAGAAGACACCTCGCTGGGGGCTTGTCTGGGGAGATTTCAAGGCGAATCCTGTAAAGCAAAGTCCCCCAAACAGGTGATTTATTTATTCTTTTAAACACTTCTAATTTAATTGCTTAATTCATTCCTTTGATATATTTTATAAGCTTTTTTATTCTTTGCTTGTGTTTGCAAATATATAACAGGTTCCACAGCGTCAGTCACTTGTCCTGAGGACTGTTTTATGATAATGGTTAACTTCAATTAGTCAGACCTTTTAAAACTATATAGCGTATACCTCACTCTCACACATGCACATAGAAAAGAAGATAAGAGTAGAAGAAAACAGAAAAGATGTGACAATGCTGTCAGGTACAAGGGTCTCAGCGAGCGCTATGCAGCAGATGTAGACTTTGCTCTTAAGCACTAAGGATATACTATGTTTTTTCTTTTAATTGCTCTTTTAAAGGGCTAGGATTTTAAACTCAGAAAACAGCACTCCTCTGCTGACACCAGTTAATGATGCCAGTTTTACTAGCTGAGAATTTATTCTCTCGGGTTTAGAATTTTTGCTTCAAACGTACATTTTTTCCCCATCCTTCTTAAGAATATGCGGATTACTGTAACATAATTCTTAGCATATGGAATTAGCTATATATAGACACCCCTCATATAATATACCACCAGGTTGATTTAGTGCATTAAGCAGGAAAACAAATTATTGGCAAGCTCTCATGGCAAGTGCCTGTATACATTAAAGGCTATAGGATTTGCTAGAAGGTGCCATATAGGTCTGTTGATCTTAAGAATATGCGGATTACTGTAACATAATTCTTAGCATATGGAATTAGCTATATATAGACACCCCTCATATAATATACCACCAGGTTGATTTAGTGCATTAAGCAGGAAAACAAATTATTGGCAAGCTCTCATGGCAAGTGCCTGTATACATTAAAGGCTATAGGATTTGCTAGAAGGTGCCATATAGGTCTGTTGATCCTTGGTAGCCTAAAGCAAA